AGTATTATGCGACTTTTTTTTTTCAAATAATTACAAATTTAAAAACTGATCTTTAGAAATTTAAAGATTTTCTCTGCTTATGTCTCTGTATGGATCCTATTTCTTGAGCCTGTTTTTTTTTTTTTTTTTAAATTTATTGTAATGATTTTTATTCTTTTTAAAATCTCTTTAGTCTGATGTTTATGCTTTGCTAATACAACCCGAATTAATATCGAATCGGATTGGATTTTTAAGTTTGGATCGGATCGGTTTTTCAGATTTCGAATCTGATTATTATGCTTCAAAGTTGCAATCTCATATGTATATTTTCTTTGTAAAAGAGGCAATACAGTAACAAAAATTCATGTTTATGCAATTATGAGAATACTATGATGTCAATATAGCTAAATCCATCAATTGTAAAGATAATAACTTAGAGAAAAAATGTAAAGGAAGTATTAATCCAAATCGGATTCGATTGGTATTAAAATTATACTAATCCGAATCCGATTCGAAATCCAAAATCTTAATAAACACAATCCGAAATCCGAAATTCGAAATTGAACGGATCGATTTGGATTTCGGATATCTGATCCAAATGAATAACCCTAGATAGATGTGATACAAAGTTAGAGGGTTCTCACTTCTCAACATGTATTAAGAGAGTGAAATGACATTTTTTTATTTATTGAGTCTAATAATGGTAGCTCAGTTAAAAAAAATTTAATCATACAAAACAAGTGGTGATTTATAGAGTTATATAAGTTACGATCTTTAGTAGTAGGATGCTATTGTAGATTATTAATTCAAAAGGATTATACATAAGGTAAAGAATATCACCCAATTAATGAGCAATAGACCAACTAGCATATTCTTTAATTGTCGAGGAAATTCTTCTGTTAATCAATTAGAATTTGAATAAAAAAAAGAATGGCCTAACAAAGATCTCATATGTTTTATTATGATTTCCTGTATTACATTTTGTTAATCATCATGAATAAATGTCATATAACAAAAGGATACTCGTAATATGCCATCAATCCATATGTTATGTATATGTGAAAACACCTCGTTAATTTGAAACCATTTTCAAATTGTTTTTGGAGGTTAGGTTGGCATCCCGCTCAATCCAGTTTGAAGTCGNGTTTGAACCTGATACTCTGCTTCTACTTCAAACTCATCATCCTCCATAATTCACGTTCATATAGCGGGACTTTCCAAACGAAGAATTACCTCTTATCCAATTTTGCTACTCCACATTGGTCTTCTTTTAATTTGATGTGAAGAATAGAATATCTTTCAACAACAGGGAAGCGGGGAAGAATAAGTTTCTGCACAGGGACAACAAGGGAATCAAGAAGAAAAGGTACTTCATAAGATTTAATTTGAACATTACGCGACAACTCTTTGCCAATCGATCTAACATAGTAATATTTATTTCTAGCAGCCGAAGAGAGACAAAGCTAATTGGCATGGAGAGCATTCAGGGTGGTGAAAGATCTCTTGCTCATGCAACGACTTCCACCCAACATAGTCTTCCATCAATGGAAGAGGAAGTAGTTGGATTTCAAGCTGATGCAAAAAGCATAATTCAACAATTGACCGGAGGAACAAAGGAACTAGACATTATCTCGATTGTTGGAATGCCAGGACTGGGCAAAACCACTTTGGCTAGAAAGGTGTTTAATTATTTTATTGATAATAGACACTTTGATGTTAGAGCATGGTGCTCTATTTCAAAAGAATATAGCTCTACTAAGGTGTTCTCTGAGATTCTTAAACAAGTCATAGGCAGTATGAATGGTATAAGAGATGAAGACATGCCTCACGAGTTGCGAAAGAGTCTAATACGCAAGAGATACCTCATCGTGTTAGACGATATATGGGAAGCTAAGGCATGGGAAGAGTTGCGATTATCTTTCCCACATGGTGAAGATGGAAGCAGAGTAGTGGTAACAACTCGAGATGAACAAGTGGTTAGGCAGCTTAAGCTCCACAACAATCCATATTTTCTTCGATTTCTCACGGAGGATGAGAGCTGGGAATTACTCCAGAAGAAAGTTTTTCAAGGAGAAATATGTCCACAAGAGTTACTCGAAGCAGGATTGCGAGTTGCCAAAAACTGTAAAGGATTACCACTTGTGATTGTCTTGATTGCTGGGATTATTTCAAAGAAAAGGCAAACCTCTTTGTGGTTTAAGGTCGCAAATGAATTAAGTTCCCATGCTTTAGAAGATCAAAGCATGAAGATAATAGAATCAAGTTACGACCATCTGGAAGATCAATTAAAGGCTTGCCTTCTTTACATGGGATTGTTTCCAGAAGACTACAAATTTCCCGTTTCTATTTTGCTAAAGTTGTGGATGGCTGAAAATTTTGTACAGAATTCGGACACAGATAACTTGGAGGAAGCATATACAAATTTCTTGAATGATCTAGCAAGCAAAAGCCTTGTAATGGTTTCTAAAAGGAGAGATAATGGTGAGATAAAGTACTGCACTCTTCATGATGTAGTCCGTGAGTTTTGCTTGAGAAAACTTGCAAAAGAAAAGTATATGCAGGTCATAATCCCATATAATCTAGACCAATCTTTAGGTACAAAGAAATCTCGATTATGTATGTATGTTCATGACGATCTGGCCAAGCAGTTGATGGAGCATGAATATTCATTGGATAAAATTCCAACATTGGCGGAGTTGAGTGAAGTAGGATCTCTTGAGTTCATTGCTCATCCAAAACTCTGTAAATGGGACCTGAGTTGGACAAATGATGTCGTCTTACTGGATTGCATTAGACTTATTCGGGTGTTGGATTTGTTGAATGTCTACTTGGAGGGAAGTTCTTGGGCTAGGGCAATGGAAGCAGTAACTCACTTGAGGTATCTTGCAATATGGACCGAAGAATTTCGTTTCCAGTGGGTAGATCACCTACTCGATCTACAAACTTTGCGGGTGGGCTGGCGGCTTGGAACATTCATGAGTGCGATATCCCCTGCTGGTCTTTGGAAAATGCAGAAGCTAAGGCATGTGGATATCCTGGAAATTACATTCGAATGGAAAGAGAATGATCGAGCAATTTTCGAAGAATCTTCACAAACTGTGTTACCGAACTTGAAGTCTTTCGGGAAATGCTGTATATATTTGGCTGATATGACTCCGGAGTTCTGGTGGAGATTTCCAAATATTGAACAACTCAAGCTCCGCTTTGTTGAACCGTCTGTACGTAGAAATCATAAGCTCTCCACACCAGAATTTGATATGCCGAATCTTGAAGAACTCCCACTTCAATCTCTCGAAGTGGGCTTCTCAGTCATAGCAGAGATGCATCGTGTTGGAATCGGAAGAGGCGGCTGTATTGTTTTCCCCTCAAATCTAAAGGATTTGTGCATCCATAGAACTGTCGTAACAGAAAAAGTTGTCTCAAATATTGCAAGACTGCGAAATCTTGAGAGACTCAAACTACGTGAAATACGCTTCAAGGATGAAGATATCAAATGTTGGATCAAATGTTGGGATGTAGGTGATTACAAGTTCCCAGCACTCAAATATTTGTACTTAAGGGATGTTACTATGATGACCGAATGGCGCTCCTCAGAGGCATCCTTCCCCGTGCTTGAGAAACTGGTTATACGTGGTTGTTGGCGTCTTCAAGAGATCCCGTCTAGCTTCGCAGATATCCAAACACTGAAGTTGATCAGATTGACGGGCTGCATGCAGTCAGTTGAGGATTCAGCTCTCAACATTAAAAAAGAAGTAGAAGATATCACAGGTTGTGACTCTCTCCAAGTTCAGGTTGATTAAAAAACTGATATTTATTCTGCAGTAGTTTCTTTTTATGGGGGTCTATATATGTGAGGAGAATAGCTGTTTTTTTAATTATTAAGCTATTCAGAAAATGATTTTGTGTGTGGACTTATTAGAAAAGGACATTACATACAACAACTCTATGGTTACACTTTTCAAAAATCAAATAGGTTATAATTTAGAACAATTGACTCAAGAACTCTGTCTTTAGGAATAATTTCTCTCTGTAGTTGAATAGCTGACGAGATTGCTATCCTTGGAATAAGTTGCTTGATTTTTTTGTGAATAGTGTTAGCTTTGAATAGCAGTAAAATGTCTCTTTATATAAGTGTGAGGTTAGCCGAAAATCTTCTCAAATTAAAACTCCAATTAAACGAGCTAGAATTCCGAACCCACAAGCTTCAAATTCCGGTTCCGCCTCTGACGTGACTCCGCCACTGCCCCTGACACCACCAGGTACAATGCAAACAATAGGCACTCACAAGCATATACCGGAGGGATTGCATTTTATGTTCAGGAACTTGTGGAAATTCTGAGGTTTTATGATTTCCATTTTTTTTAAAATTTTTGAGTAGGAGTTGCAACTCCAATTAGGTGCTGAAGTTTCGATTAGTTTTGGTTTTTGGTAAGAAGAAAAAACTCAAAATCATATAAGGTACCAGCCTCCTTTGTAGACATGATTACGTTAAAACTTAAAATATGTTATCTATTTGAGTCCGTCTATTAAATGACAATTATTTGACAAAGGAAGGTTAAAGTTATTAATTAAATTAATATAGAACGTATACTTTTAATGGATTGAGGATTCAAATCGTGCCATTAGTCTACATACGGAGGCATATCAAATCTCCTAAAATTTTAACGTCTGCATAAAAATAGTTTTTATTAATACTGCACATACGTTTCCTTTAAAAAAAACAAAAGACATTTCAAACGATAATTCTCACAGGCAGGATGGAACTAAGTATAAATATATAACTTCTTTTCTTTGATAAAACATTAATTAACTAAATGTATGTTGTTCGAGTTAAAGATACTAGTGACCTGACACCAGATACAAAAAGGTAGATTCTTTCTAACAACATATCAAGAATTTTAACTTTTAAAGTTCTTACATTAAAGTTATTATGCTTTTAAAATTATGAGTTTAGATCTAATCTTTAATAAAAAGTTTGTGAATTTTCACATAAATATTTATACACTCATAAAAAATATTAGGTTCAAATAAACTCGATGTCGAAATACTAGAACCATTCACCCATGTTACCAGTCAATTTTTCGTGTTCAATTATAGTCCAGCTGGCTGGATTAATTAAAAACGTATTCGAAGAGTCAAAGACTAAAAAATTCAGTGGATAAGTAATTTCGAAGATGTTTTACAGATAGATATCAGCCAAAGTACGTGAAAAACCAAGGTTTGGCCATTGGCAACAAGCTGGTCCCAAATCTCCTAAAATTTTGTGGGCCTATAAAAAATGGCCTAATAAACTCTAGCCATTGCTTCTCCACGACTCTTGTTCGTTTTTGACGTTTTAGGGCCATAAAATAGGATTTCAACACGATTTTTGATTTTTTTTCATGTGACAATATCTACACTATCTTCATGAATTCGGGCAACCGATCCCGAATCGCCAATAATTTTGTGGGTCAATCAGAAACATATTAATGCAAAATGAAGAGCGAGGAATGGTATTTAACAAAACCAAAGCAAGCAGATAATTTTTGAGCTAAGTATACTAAGCACGACGAGCCTGCTTGAGGCTGTGAATTGCCTTTTGAAGACGACATACATGGGTAGGATTCTCAGAACTTTCAAATCCTGGTGGCTGCTGTATATAGACTTGTTCATCAAGACTACCGCGCAAGAAGACGTTGTTAACATCTAGTTGATGAACATACCAATCAAGTTTAGTAGCCATAGCTAGGACAAGACGGACAATAGCAGGCTTGACTACTGGACTGAAGGTGAAATGGTAATCAAGTCCACGATGATGAGTAAATCCCTTGGCGCCCAAACGAGCCTTATACCTGTCAACAGAACCGTCAGGTTTATACTTAATACAGAATAACCACTTACAATCCACCACATTTTTTAAAGAGTCACATGGAACCAAATCCAAAGTCTGGTTGCGAACAAAAGCATCAAATTCAGCTTGCATTGCGGAATTCCAATGGGGAATTAGCTTGGCTTGCATGGGTTGTGGGAATTTTTTTAGATGATGGAGTGGTCGTGAGAAATTGACGAGGTTTAAGATCGAGTGATCATTGAGTGCACTTTTGTGGCTGGTTGGTTTGATTGGGGTTGGGTTGGTTGGTCCGACTGAATAGGCGGAGAGGATTCTGGTCGAGGTGGGGAAGAAGCCATTTGCGGCTTATGTAGTGCCGAAGCAGATGTACAGTGGGATGGACCTGGATTTTGGCTAGGAGTGGATGGTCTTTCTCGTCTTTCAACACTTTTGTTTTAGCTTTGAGCATGAACAACCACATATATTTTGAAAATTGATCAACAAATAAAACATAGTATCGTTTTTTGTCGATTGATAATACCGGAGATGGTCCCCACAAATCACTATAAATTAAATGAAATTTCTTATCACTGTGCAAAGAAGTTTTTGAGAAAGGCATCTTGTGGTTTTTATTGGAATAACATGAATTACAGAAAGTGGTAGTATTTGAATCAGAAGCTGGAATGTTATACTAGTACTAGTCATACACTGGTTAAAACAATAACGAAAACGAAACAAAATAAATTCTGCTAACCTTTTTCAACCTTGCTGTGTGGCGTTGCAATCCGAAGTTTCAGGGGGGAATATCATGAGCTTGAATTTGGAACTATCCGGAGCTTGACAGATCTCCATTCCAAATTTGCGTTTTTTAGATTCTTGTATCAGCTCTCTCTTTCTGCATTCGATTGCTTTTGCAGATTTGATTGCCTTGTTTGTGTTCTCCAGAGTCATCTGTTGAAGGCTACTTACACCAGCCAGCCCAAATGGCACAACCTCAAGCTTATCACAGGATATAAGAACAAGACACTTAAGTCTTTGGAATGAAAGATCTGAAGCCTTCCAAATCTCAAAGTCTGCTCTTTGAATGAGCAATACCTTGAGTTGGCTAAAACAGCCTCCGATATCTAAATCCCAGGTCATCCCGCTAAATGCATTTTCCTTCAGCTTTAGGACCTCAAGGCATTCCAACCGCGCTAGTATATTTGCATCACTCCAAGGAAACTTTGTATTTGACAAAGTTAGCTTATTCAGTTTTTGCAGATACTCGGCGAATGCTGGAGGAAGTTGAACAACTTTTCTCATGGACCTGCCAAAGTCATTCAACAATTTCAAATGTTCCAGGAGCTTTAGCTTTGCAAAGTTTCTGAACCCACCCTTATTAGTTTCCAAAAACTCAGCCATTTCCCCTTGAATACTCACTTTTTTGAGATTACAAGCCCTTACAAGAACATCTTCTCCGCAACTACCTGGTGCTACTTTAGAAAGAGTTTGTAGGCAAGACGATCCATACGTTGTTTGGGCAGCAGGGGATGTTAATTTTGCAGGGACGTTGGTGTGCAGATGCCTTAACTGTAGCATGTTCCATATGTCCGCTTTTATCTCAATGGTGGACGCCTTTGTATTAAGTATAAGAGTTTGTAAATTCCAAAACTTACCAACGAATGCAGGAAGGCTTGCGTAGTTACCTGAGATAGCAATGTACCTCAAATGATATAGCTCTTTAAAATGACTTGAGAAACTAAAATCGAGGGATTCAACGTCCAAGACCCTAACCAGTGGAAATGCTTTGTGGAGGAGTCGAATGTCACTAAGCTGCTCACTTCCTTTATTTTTTTTGGAAAAACATAGGAAAGACCTAACATGCTCAGCAAATGGTTCTTTGGAGATAAAAGCTTCCAAAAGAGAGAGTTGAATAAGCAATCGACGAGAAGTATCTAGATCTGGTATAGAAAGACCAGGCTGATCGGTTTTTTCACATACTTCTTGGAAAAAACCTTCATTTTTAGCCTCCATTTTGCAGAACTGGTGCAACATGTCGTGAATACGACATGTTTTTACTAGTCCATCAACCCTTTTCTGCATTACCATCACTAAATTCCTGTTAATAAGTTCGTTCAAGTATTGCTCTGCCATTTCCTCGAGGGTGGCATTTAGTTCAGAGTTAATCAACCCCTCTGAAATCCACAAGTGAATCAACTTCCAAGCAGGAATTTCAAAGCCTTGTGGAAAGGCACCACAATACAGAAAGCACGCCTTCATCTTCTCGGGTAGATGGATATAACTCATTTCCACATATTTCAAACAGCTTTCAGGGTCATCTTTATTTATAAGGTGATTTCCTACATTGTCCTTAACCATTTGCCACCATCTTTCGCTTGTACGTCCTCTTAGAGCTCCTGCAATTACCACTACAGCAAGTGGCACTCCACTACATTGTTTTGCAATACTTTTTCCACGTGCTATCAACTCTTCAGGACACCTAACATTACTTCCAAAAACTCTATTTTCCAACAATTGGAAACTTTCCTCATCTTTAAGAAATTTCAAGGAATGAGGATGAGCATTGGCATATCTAGCAACACTTGCGTCACGAGTGGTGATCATGATTCGATGACCTTTTCTATTTTTCGGGAAAGCTTCTTTGATAGCATGCACGACGTTTGGCTCCCACACATCGTCCAAGACAATGAGACATTTACCTCCTTTGGAAATGAACTCACGTATTATCTAGGCCAAATCATTCACATTCATATCTTGATGTTCTTTAGTTAGTTTTGTGAACACTTTCAGAATGTTAAGAAACACTTCTGTTAGTTTGTATTGCAGGCCTACCTTTATCCAAATAGTCGTGTAGAAATGATAGGAAATCTGAGAATCTTTATATATTTTTAATGCCAGTGTGGTTTTGCCAAGTCCGGGCAAGCCCACCACAGGAATAGCATCTAAATCACCCGTTCCTTCAACGAGTCGTTTGATCACTGTTTCCGCTTCCTCATCGAAGCCAACAACTTCAGTCTCTTCCAGCAAAATCTCCTTCTAAGATCATCAAAAATAGTTTGGATATTAAAAACAGACTTTAAATTTGATATACTGTGACATTCTATCTCTGTAAACACGTTGAGTAATTGTAATAAGACAACACCTTATATTCTCTGCAATAGGGATACTTAACAATAACAAATAGAGCATCTTAATTTTTTGTGTTGCAAAATGTACAATCTAAAAATACAAAAGTTGAAACAAATATATTCACAGTTCTTTAATTAAACTAGTTTCTATATGCGTGCTGTGTACGAAAGATAATACTTAAATAAACATTTGAACCTGCAAAAATAGTTGCTTTTTTTTTTATTTTTTGGTTTTCCACCCGGTGTCTGGTACCCATATTGGGGCTTCACTAAATCCGGATTCGCCTCAGAAAGTCCCTCATTGGGGGATAAAGCGCTTCCTAACAAAGGCGACTTCATACCCGGGGAATAGAACACGAGACCTTTGGTCAAGGATGAAGGAATACTTACTCTACAATAACCCTTGTTGGTAAAATAGTTGTTGCTTTATTGTATTCCGGCTTTTTTACATTTTTTTCATTCAAAATGATGACCCTGCTCCTCAAATATAACCAAAATAATAGTCACAACCATGGAAGAAAAACAATTACACTCGATACCTATTAAGATGAATTCTTTTTTTAATAATTTTTTATTTTAATTACTCACTTTATCATTAGTGAGAAATATTGTAGTCCTACAAAGTTTTTGCCCCTGGAGCTTTCAGGACCACATATTCCAAAAATATTTTCTCTTTTCTTAAACTTAACTTTGTGACAAATCAAATTAATCATCTAAATTAAAATGGAGGGTGTAATATTTATTTCCTAGAATAAGGTAAATATGAAAATGATGGATAATTGCAAAAGAAATTAAATTCACAAATCTAGGTTGTTCCGGTCATACCTGTGACCCATGGGCAACAATTTCCTTCTGAAAATGGAGCATTGGCTTTGCCTGAAAAGCATGTTGATTTTCTTCCCGAATTTTCTTCACCTTCTCTAATAGAGCTTTGATGTTTATTACACATTCCTTGACGGTTTTGGTGTAGTTCGTCAAAACTCTGTATTTCTGTTGGTGTTGTTTTGCTTGAATATGGAGCTTATCAATGAGATCCTCAGCTTTATATACAATAACTTGAATTTTGTTGACGAAATGTTTCCATTGTTTGCTGTTGCTTTGACGATAGTGTGCAGCATCCTCTAGAAATGCCTTTAAGCTATCAACTTCTTCCAGCAGTTGTGCACAATCTTCCTTTGCGCCGCCAATCAGTTTCCAAGTTTCTTTTATTATCGCCAGCAGGTTTTTTAGTACAAAATTCAACACTACATCCGCCATCTTCCTTTCTATTTCTCAGCTGAATAAAGGCACAATTCAAGACATAATCAGGCGCATTTTAGGGCATAGAAATGAAGGGGAAGACTCAAAGTCTTTGCTTGAATTCCTATTAAGAGTTAGAAACAACAACAACAACAACAATAACCTTACCCCTATCCTAGGACAGAGAGAGAGGGCTATTTCCAAATAGACCCCGGCATGTTCCCTCCAATAACTTCCCACCTTGCTCTTGCTCTTGCTCTCGAGAAGACCCCAACTCACAACCTTTCCGTTGGAAGTGGGGGTTATAAAAATTAATTATAGTATAATATTAAGAGTCAAATTCGTTGAAAGGCAAGCTTTACATTGTCACTATCGATTTTTATTCTATATACATAAGTTATTTATTGTAAAATATTAACTCAATTTTGTCACTTAAAGACATAAGTTGTCAACTATAAATTTATTTTCAAGAACTATAGGGCCAACTCTTCATTTCTAAATTTCTAAAGATCAGTTTTAAAATTTGTAATTATTTGGAAAAAAAAAAGTCGCATAATACTCTAATAATAAAGGATATCCAAAGCTACTAGAAATTATAAAAAGTATTTATGCTCGTCGTATTCTTTATATGGACATTTGAAGCCAATGGCTCATACTCTTGACTCATACTAATGAGAATTTTACCTCCACGAAATTGAATAAATTAAAGGCTACTAAATTAGTTCTTTTTTTATGGATAATTACATATATTGTAGATGGCATGATAGTGTAAAATTTTCTTTTATTCTATTAGTACATAGAAGTTACATGAATATCTTTAAAATTTAGCTACCTGTACTATCTGTTTTTATTTCTTGTAAAAGAAACGCAAAAGTAATCTTAGTAGATCTCGTTGATACCAACATATAATCATTGTTCATTATTTTGGGGTTTTAACGATTTTTTTCGAGGTATTATCACTTTTTGCTTGTGCTAGAAACTATTTATATTTGATAACCAAAAAAGTATATAATTTTTATATAATATACATAATGTATATTTATACAAACAAATTTTATATATTTTTCTACTATTATTTTTATAGCGGCTATATATACAGTGTCATTTTTTCAATTTCTTTTCATTTTTATGAAACAATAAGGATAAAATTCAAGTTACCTCTCTAGATCGGGTGGGGGTTTCTTGGAACGAAATAGAAAGAATATCATTAGCAAAGCATAAACATCAGACTAAAGAGATTTTAAAAAGAATAAAAATCATTACAATAAATTTAAAAAAAAAACAGGCTCAAGAAATAGGATCCATACATAGACATAAGCACAGAAAATCTCACCTTGCACTATGAAAAGAAGCTGCACAAATGATTAATTGTTCTGAATTTATGGTTTTGGAGTAGAGGAGTTAGGAATAGGAAAGAAGATGGTGTGAAGGAGAAACTGAAGTAAACGAGTGATGATTCGTAGTTGTGGTTGGGATTACTAAATTTAATACATAAACAATAAAACAATTGTTGCTTTAAGTATTTTCCCATGCGGCATAGAAATGAAGGGGAAGACTCAAAGTCTTTGCTCAAGTCTTTTTCCTTACTTGTTATGTGGAGTTGTATTCCTATTGGTTCCTTTAGTTGAAAAAGACGAGGTCTATTCAAATTACGTCGACGGTCTTATTTTATTTAAACTTTTATAAAAATAATAAGTTTAATTTATTTCTGAAAGTAGAAAAATCTTACGTATTAATGTATTTGTTTACCTAAAAAATACGAGTAACAATTAAATTTGATTAGTATTTTTAATAATATGTGATTTAGTTCAATACCAATTAATAATCAAGAAATATGAAGTAGAAATGTGATTTAGTTCAATACCAATTAATCATCAAGAAATATAAAGTAGAAATGAAAGATAAAATTGAATCAAACTAATGCTTTTTCTTTTTTTGCCGTTAAAAGAACTTCTATTAATTAAGTAGTAGCAGTACAAGGAGCTATTTGCAGACTATTACAAAAGAGATATCCAAATGTTGCTGCTGGTATGGAACATTTGGCAGGACAGTTGGAGAATTACAAGGTTTTACAAAACGTTTGTAAAGTGTCCCTATTTGATCAGCCAAAAGTTGTTCTAACAAAAAGTCTGGCGGGTGGGTGAAAACTAGTACATTTGCCTGAGTTTGATCCAGCGAGCCATGTTGAGCAAGATAGTGGGATGCATAATTCTATTCCTTGTATATGTGAGTGATAGTCGGATTACCCAGCTGTTGGAGCAAGTACATGTATTGAAGTATAGAGGATGAGTAACGAAGATTATTATTAGAAAGCATTGTTATTACCTCTGTGGAATCCACATTGATTTCCAGCTGTATGAAGTGATGTTGTTGTGCGAGTTGTAAACCTGTTAGTAATGCATGTAAATTCCATGCTAGTGGAGTTACCCGTTGAAGAATAACCCATGAAGTCCATTAAACAAATACCTGCTGAGTTTCTGAATATGCCTCCATAACCATTGGTAGTAGGATTTTTGTTGCACCGTCTGTGTTAAGCTTTATTTTACCGGCCGCTGGAGGGTGCCATTTAATATACATGGGCGCACCCGCTTGGGGTTTTTTATGCCTGTTCCCGTTTTGATGGATAATATAATGATATTCGGCTGCTTGGGAGAGGATTTGTTGTGTTGAAGGTGGTGGTTTATTAGAGTGACGATTAAAAATAAAGTGGTTTCTTAGTTTCCAAATGTACCACACTATATAGGGAATAAGGATGGCTGGTGGTAAATTATAAGGGAGGTTGGTTGCTTGTTGGATTAAGTAGTGGATTATCTGAATAGGTGTGAAGGACTGATTAGTGCTGTTTTGAATATATGAGGTCAATCTTAGGTGTGCCCAGATATTATTGGAGCGTGGGCAATGGAATAGCAGGTGTGTGAGATTTTCAACTTGTTGGTTGCATAGGAGACAAATATCAAATAAGGCAACCTTTATATAATACAAATAAGAGGCAGTTTGCAAACGTTGATGTGATACTAACCAAAGAAAGTGAATAATTTTAGGGAGCAAAGGGTTGCTGCCACAACCAGTAATGATGTTATGCTGGAGTTGGTCTTTGGAGGGAAATATATAGGGATTTGACTGTAAAGTGACCATTGCGAGTAAGACCCTAGATGAGTGAATCATTGGCCTGAGGTGTTGTTAACGTAGGAATGTAGACCTTCAATATTAGAGAAGTAATATGTTCAGGTAGAGAGAAGTTTAAGGAGGATATGTCATTTGCGTTATCATGGATATAATGGCTCAGAGTGGTTTGAGATTCTGTTATTTGTAAGGGGCCGTGGATTAGTTTTCGGAGGATAATATTGGGGCCTATCCAAGGTAGATGCCATATATTTAAATGGGCGCCCCGTGCTATGTGCCAAAGAAGACCGATTTGACAAAAATTCCAACCTTCGAGAATATTTTTCCATATGGGTGAATCCTGGGTTCCTGATGTCTTATTGAGGTAAATATGAAGGAGAGTGGATGCCCATAGATAATTACGATTTTGGAATAATCTCCAAGCTAGGTTTCCTAACAAGGCTCCTCTTTTCAACTTCGCCATGAAACTAAACTCCTCTTCCCCCATCACATATCCGCCAGAACCCCCAGACCTCAGTACTATGCACATTGACTCCCCACCATATCACCACCCTACTGAAAAAACTTCTTTTAAAGAGGCATTGCTCCACCAAAAACCCCTGCCCCAACATCACACAAATGCAGCTATAAACACCACCACACAGTTGGACCTATCAGATGAAACAGAAAACAATCTCCAATATGGCTGTTTCATACCCCTCACCTCCCTTGATAAATTTAGGCTTTACTCACCTTGGAAAGATTCAGTAATAGTTAAGCTATTTGGTCGTAAAATTGGACACCGGGTATTGAAAAACAAGCTCCTAGCCTTATGGCAACCTATAGAAGCCGTATCACCTATAGACCTTGGATGTGATTTTTTCCTTATGAAATTTCAACTAGAAGAAAACATGTTATGGCCTTACATGGGGGTCCCTAGTTCATTTTTAATCATTTCCTATCAGTTCGTAAATGGGAACCCAAATTCATAGCATCCAATGCACAACTTACTTACTCTGCTATTTGGATTAGGCTACCACTTGTCACGGCCCAATTTCCATACCCGGTCATGATGGCGCCTCTCGTAAAGACAAGGCCAGCCAACTAACCTAAAACATCTTTTAACAAATATTTAAACATAAATGAATAGAAAAATAAAACTTAATGGCATTAAAAACTATTGATTTCATCCCAATACAACTTGACCGGGGTGTCACAAGTCACGAGCATCTATGAAAAACTGAATACCGCTAGAGGACCAATAATATATATAAGGTAAAAACTGAAGTTCAAAAGATGAAGTCCGGTGCCGCGAACGCTGGCGGTCACCTTGCTCAGCTACGAAAGTACCTTCAATCCGCTAATAACCCGCTTCCGGAAAACAATGCCCGCAACTGCACACGTGGTGGAGGGAATAAAGTGAGTACTACCAACTCAGTGAGTAATAAGCATATATAATGTCTGAAGATATGAACCCACGAATTGCCACAATGTAAAGATAAAATTATCAATTTAACAACATCAACGAGAAAATAGCAACAAAACCACATCAGGTATATCAGGTAAATATATGTGCATGAATGCAATGCAATGCACATGACCACTACAGCGTGCAGCCCGATCCATTTGGGTACCCGCGCTTACTGGGGATGTGTACAGACTCCGGAGGGGCTCCTACAGCCCAAGCGCAATATCATCATAACATCACTACGGCGTGCAGCCTGATCCATGCTCAGCCCAAAATATGCATATGAGTCACACAACAGATTCAATTTATAGTCCTCAGTTTCAATTATTAATAAAGATATAATTAAGTTATTTAACTTTAGGAATGTGACTAAGCATCTCGAAACAGTGATTAATACACAGGACTGAGATCAAATGATTATGCAAATCATGCAATCACAATAATATCCATCCTCGAAGGATGCTACAAATCAGCACAAGGCCCCAAACATGTCAACAAGCCCAAATATCATCAATACAATGTGCCTATCAGTCGCCAATATATTATAATTATCATTTGGGATGGACCAAGTCACAATCCCCAACCATAAACGACCCCGCACCTACCATGGGGTGCGTGTCTCGCCTCAATATAGCATCACAATGTGATATACCGGGGTTTCAAACCCTCAGGTCATCATCTACACAAATTACTCACCTCTAATCGGCCGTAGACTAGTCCGCAATGCCCTTTCCACTTGAATCGACCTCCTCGCACATCAAATCTAGCCAAAACCACAACGAATACATTACAATGTGATAAAGAAACATAATCCAATCAAAAATACTCGAAAAACACCAAAAATCACGAAGTTGGCAAAACCCGAGCTCCGGGCCCATTTCTCGAAAAATTATGAAATTCACATCACTGGATTCCTCGTCTCGTCACGAGTCCGTACATATAAAATTTATCAAAATCGGAGTTCAAATGCCATTTCAAATCCCAAAATTTCATTTTCAAAACCAAGCCCTAGTTCGTCAAGTTTTCACCCAATTTTCCAAGAATTAAAGGTCGATTCTTCAATAAAATGATGTATTTAACTCATAAAACTTACCTCCTATCGATTCCCAGTCAAAACCCTTCAAACCCCTCGACAAAAGCTCCCAAGCTCGCTCAAAAATGGTGGAAATGAGCTTGGGGTCGCCGATGAGATGTTTAATAAAACCCTCTCTGCCCAGCTATTTCCTTCTATGCGAACGCGAGACCCCTTCCCGTTCGCGATGCACAAGAATTTCCTCGGACCAAATTAACCTTTCGCGTTCGCAGGCCTGGTCTCGCGTTCGCGAAGGCCAAATGTCAGGCGCTTCGCGTTCGCGTCCCATCCTTCGCGTTCGCGAAGGCCAATCTCACAGCCCCCCCCCCCCCTTTTCC